ATGGCATCAGTGTTTGGAACAACTTATGTCTGTGAGCAAACATTGTCAAAAATTAACTATGTGAAGTCAGCACATCGTACGAGGTTGACTGATGAACATTTGAAAGCAATTCTCTTGTTTGCATGCAGCAATTCCAAAGTAAATATTAACGATATCTCAAAAGCTAAACGCCAGTTTCACAAACCTTTTTTGCTGCTTAGTTTGTGAGATTCGGATATGTGCGCACTGGGTGTGATATAACTATCTTATTGCTAACGTCGCCTTCTTTGATAACTTTTTGGCAAATAAACATGTTTGTTATCTTTATTTTTGTGTATTCACTATATTGTATTGAACAAAATGGTTATGCGGCCCGCGTTCGTCATGATCTCAGTTATCTAGCCCGCTGTGAAAAAAGTTTGGTGACCCCTGGTTTAGAGGATGAGACAGCTGAGATGGACCAATAGGTCCCTTGTTGTCCCTAAACATAATATTATGTTATTTAATATAAATTTCTACTTATTTATTTGCTTTTAATGCAAGCATACAAAAACTAGCTTTTTGATAGAGGTATTTGGAAAAACTTGAAATCTGAGAATTACTGTTGGTAGACGGCGTTAAATACCAAGTTTTATTTGTTAGGCTTAGGTCATGGTCTGATCAGTTGTTAAAGATTTCGTCAATTAAAAAATCAATATAGAAAGGCATAAAAATTAGCACTGTCGTGGACATAGTTATTTACACCTTTGAAAACAAGAGATTTTGTTGTTCAACTAATTAATTATAATAAGTAATATGAATCCACTAACGTAAGTAGAAAAGTAATTAGTTGGAAAGGCTATAACTATAAGTATAGTTTTTGCCATTTTCAAGTTTCATATAATTTGAGGTTTAAACTTAAACTGTTAAAGTCAAATTTAAAGAAACTTTAAAGTTTCATTTTTTTAACAGAGCTAAGTTAGAAGATTTATTTTATTATTATAGTTTTAAAATTTCAAGCTCAATCAATGGTTATAAAAATATGTTTAGGTCAATGACACAGACTACTGTTGTTTTTTTCCATTAATCACTGCAGTTAGTAATGTAAGTTGTAACGATAATAATTTAAGTTTTGAGTTAACATATAATATTTCCACTGATATTTTGTACATTTTAGTATTTTCTACAGTTTTATTTTGAGAGAAATTGCTTTCTCTCATATTACTATTAATTTGTGAAGAGCAAAAAATTTAAGTGTAACTTGTGAAAGTAATTAGTTATCACTGCCACTCTGGTTCCATTAATTGTAATGCATGTACCTTTTTTTCCTTTATATCTTCAAATGCCATGAAAGAATACAATAAATTATATATATATAGGTTAGTACAATATAAACTGTGAGACGTTCTTGATTAGGCTTTGAAAACAGGAAACATTAATGTTGTGAAAGTTAAAAGAAAGAATATTTTTTTTACAGTACGTTATATTGAACAAATTAAATTACTTCTAAGGTAGGAAAAATATTCAATCTCTCTTAGTTTAAACTTCAGTGGTTCACATCCAGCTTTTATAAAATTATGTTGAATAATCAGGTAGAAATCAATTGGTAAGGATGATAACCTTGTTTAATCGTAGTGTACTTAATACTGTAGCAAAGTACTCATTGACTTGCATTAATATTCACTTCATTGTATTTGAATTACAGCTTTTCTGTACTTAAAACGTTATATTGTAAAGGCTCTTGTGATATATCATCTGTTTTATCCATAGGGAGATGGAGATTTTTTTTCAGACATAAATTCTTCATAATGTTAGAAATCAGGGTTGTATTTCGTTTATGATTATGAAGTAATATGTACATGTCTTATTATAATATATTTCAGTATAATATGGTACTTTTTGTATCTCTTCAGAAATGTGAAAAATATTACCAAGTTGAATGAGAAGGAACTATCTCTTGGAATAGACAGTAAAACCTCGTGGCACAATCTCTACAAACACAGTGCTTGGATCTTTCTTGGTGGTCTGTCATATGACTTGACAGAAGGAGATATTGTTTGCGTATTTTCTCAGTAAGTAAGAAGGCTTGTTTACTGTATTTGTGTGTCAATTGTGGATATGATGAACTGCTTGTGATCAGACATAGCTTATAAACAACAGATCAGTTACAGGGTTGACAGTTTGGTCAGGTTTATTGAAATATAAAACCTTTTGCTGAAGTTTAAGAAATTCTCTAGTGTGGCCAGTAGAGATGGGCAGTTAGTGAAATTTGCCAGTTGTTTAATCGCTTACATTCAAATAATTGAATATTTTCACATGAGATTTTAGATATTTTAAATTAAAATAGAGATAATCAGAAACATTATTTTAATTAATTGATTATTTCTTTGAGTCATGATACTAATTTATTAAGCCGAAAAACCTTGAATTAATGGAAAATAATAACCTTGTTCAGTATGATATTTCCCAAAAAACAAACTGTTAAACTTCTGTACTCTTTGTTTCTTATACATTTATATACAGCTTAACCTTAGAATTACTGACGTGACTCAGTTTACTAAAATTATTTATGCACCAAAGTGCTTGTGGGTCCATAAATTTGTTGGTTACAGGAACCCTAGTAATATATACAAGACTACAAGTCACAAAAAACATCATTATTAGAGCTAATTCCACTAATTACTGTGGAGATGTACAGAATGAGGGATTCCATCCACTTTATTTTTTTTATCAGTTCTTTATACTGAATGTTGTAACAGTTAAAAACTTAAGATTATTCAACATGGTCCATTATGTAGATCCCACTGATAGTGAATGTTAAAACGACATGCCAGTAAGTCAAGGGTTAAACATGATCCAATATCTAGATCCCCGTGATAGTGAATGTTAAAACAACATGCCAGTAAGTCAAGGGTTAAACTTGATCCAATATGTAGATCCCACTGATAGTGAATGTTAAAACAACATGCCAGTAAGTCAAGGGTTAAACTTGATCCAATATGTAGATCCCCGTGATAGTGAATGTTAAAACGACATGCCAGTAAGTCAAAGGTTAAACTTGATCCAATATGTAGATCCCACTGACAGTGAATGTTAAAACAACATGTCAGTAAGTCAAGGGTTAAACTTGATCTAATATGTAGATCCCACTGATAGTGAATGTTAAAACAACATGCCAGTAAGTCAAGGGTTAAACTTGATCCAATATGTGGATCCCACTGATAGTGAATGTTAAAACAACATGCCAGTAAGTCAAGGGTTAAACTTGATCCAATATGTAGATCTCACTGGTAGTGAATGTTAAAACAGCATGCCAGGAAGTCAAGGATTAAACTTGATCCCATATGTAGATCTTACTGGTAGTGAGAGTTAAAGCAGCATGCCAGCAAGTCAAGGATTAAATTTAATCCAATATGTAGATCCCACTGGTAGGGAATGTTAAAACAGCATGCCAGGAAGTCAAGGAAATTAGATAAACTTGAATAATATTTTATTGTTGTAAATTAAACATGTTGTTATGTCAGAAAGTTTAATCCTTGACTTCCTGGCATGCTGTTTTAACTCTCACTACCAGTGGGAGCTACATATTGGATTAAATTTAATCCTTGACTTGCTGGCATGCTGTTTTAACTCTTACTACCAGTGAGATCTACATATTGGAACAAGTTTAAACATCCAATGTCACAAACTGTGCATTTATTTCCGAAATATTGTACTTCAGTCAAAATAGTTTCTAAAAATAATTATATACACTTCTACTATGGCTACTGCACTAGTAACTTTGAAGAAAAACAGATGCATGCACCCACAGACAAGGGTTAACTTTAAAGAAAAATGAAGTTTTAAATTCCAGGTAATTGGTCTAAACTACACATACTTAAGGTATTCATTCCTTGCTCAGTCCTCCTAGCTGATATGTAGTACGCTTAATACTTTAATTAGATAAATTGAATAATATTTTATTGTTGTAAATTAAACATGTTGTTCTGTCAGAAAGTTTAACCCTTGACTTGCTTAATACTTTAATTAGATAAACTGAATAATATTTTATTGTTGTAAATTAAACATGTTGTTCTGTCAGAAAGTTTAACCCTTGACTTGCTTAATACTTTCATTGTTGCATGTATGAAATATAATATGTATAGGGTTATGAACCTAATATACAGGTATGGTGAAGTGGTCAACGTTAATCTGGTGCGAGATAAGAAAACTGGCAAGTCCAGAGGGTTCTGTTTCGTATGTTACGAAGATCAGAGGAGCACTGTTTTAGCTGTGGATAATTTAAATGGTATTAAGGTAATTATTTAATACTCTCATGTCATAATAATTAAGTCTAAGGCTGTGTTAGTAATTCATAAAATGGTATAAGAAAACTATATATATATATAGATCTTATTAGTTAATTGTCAGCTTTCAACCACTGACCAGTACATATGTTCATAATGTCCAGAGAATGAAAGGATGTGAAGTGAGTTTTACAGCTTTGATATCACCTAAAAAATAGAATGCCTTGTTTTATGACCTTTTTAAAACAGACGTTAGTTACATTACAGTAGACGAGAAATTAGGTAAATATTTGTTAGTTCCACGTTTCAGTGTCACATTTAACAAACCTTAATAGGTAGTAAATTTGTCATAGTATAAAACAGTTTTAAACCCAGTATTGCTCTATTTGTTTTTGCATTGGATTGTTTGCTGATTAAAAAAATCATGTAATGTTTGTCACTAGGTGTGAGTAGCTTATTACATCAATACTTTTTTGGGATAATCATTCATTCATTTTATTAGGAATTAAACTTCAAGATGTCAACACTTCTCCTGTATAGGCATGTAATTACAAAAACTTCTTAAATCTGTTACTGTTAAATGAGGAAAGTGTCCCCCATACAGGTCAAAAACAATTTATATTCAAAGTACAGTCACTGCCGGAGAAAGACATAAAGTTAAGCAGGGTGTGAAAAATTGGCTCGGGATTAGTGGACTTGAATAGTTGCATTGTACAAAAGAGGAGCTAAGCTTCAATTCCCAATTATGTAAACAACTCACCAATTATATGTAATAGAAATTTCAATAAGTACGCGTTTTCAAGGGGTAAAGCCATACTTGAAAGCTCAAAACAGTGATTTCAAAAATACTTCCCAAATGATAAGAGACCTGAAATTTGTTTCATTATTTGACATTTTTCTGCTCTAGTAAATCAGATAATAATACTTAATGCAATTAGGGCAAACTATGGTTCATTTAGCAGTGATACTGGACTGCGAGTCGTAATCGATCACATGAGAATATTTTTTTTTGAATGGGTCATGTAATTGCTGCATGGGTAAAAAATGTATTAAAATAAAATTGCAAAGCTAAATATGTTAATGAGCATAAAACAAATTGGAATTAGTTGGATATATAAAATAGAACATTTTGATCAATAATAAATTTTAAACAAAAAGTTATGTTTTTTTTTTCATTTACAGATAGCAATACAATTAATACATAACTTGTACCAATTCTACACTAAATCAATGTGTAAAAATAGCTTTTATCCAGAAACATTTTTCTTAGCCTGTCAAAGATATCTTTATATGACTCGTAACTCTAAGGTATACTATTAAGTTACTAAGCAGTATGCCTATCCTGTAGCATTGGTAAAATAATACACTTTGTTAGCTTACATTAGTAAATCTTTAGTTATATGTGAAATTAGTTACTTAAATGAAAAATATTATTTAACACTAAGGATAGACTTTCCATTTATTAATTTCTTTTCCTCACCAAAACAATACTTTCAGTGAATAAAATATGGTGTAGAGGTGTAATTTATTATTCTCACTACAACAGACTAGTTTTGTAGAATTCACAGCTCATCAGTACTGCTTGGAAGATGTAAGCAACTGCATGAAGTAGGCCTAGTATAGTGGTGGTGTGTAAGCAGTTTGTTTGGTTTAGATGTATAGTCCTTTACTCGCCACTAATAACCTAAAATTACTTAGAAGTTTGGATAATGTGATATACCATCATAATTAACCCTGATGAGTAGAAGTACTACATTAGTTTGCAAGATTATGAAACTGTTAGTAGAAATCTCCATGGATAATTGGGTGATTCATTTTTCAAATCACTAATTTAGTGTGTATTTTGACACACTAGGGCAGAATGTGACTTAAATAATTATTTCTTTATCTCGTTATAAGTTGATGATATGAAGATTTAACATCCCAAGACAAAATTGTTGATTTTATATACTGAAGCTGTTATAAATTTTCCGTCTCTAGTTGTGTGGAAAGACCGTTCGTGTTGATCACGTGGAAAATTATAAAATCCCTAAAGAATATGACGATGATGATGATCTGACAAAAACTTTACATTTAGAAGGCTGTGCTCCCAAGCCTCCTGAACTGTCTCCTAACCAGGAAGTAAAAGATGTTCCAAAAATAAAAAAAGGTTTGTTTTATACAGAAGCCATCATTAAATAGTTTTAGTACTTTGTTTTAATCAGTAATCTCATTTAAATCATTGTAGCATGATATTTGTAACTGAAAGTGGCAGTGTCCTGACCTCCCTCTCAACTTACAACTTTAGATATAAGATGCTTGATGTAACTGAAAGCGGCAGTGTCCTGACCTCCCTCTCAACTTGCAACTTTAGATATAAGATGCTTGATGTAACTGAAAGTGGCAGTGTTCTGACCTCCCTCTCAACTTACAACTTTAGATATAAGATGCTTGATGTAACTGAAAGTGGCAGTGTCCTGATCTCCTCCTCAACTTGCAACTTTAGATATAAGATGCTTGATGTAACTGAAAGTGGCAGTGTCCTGACCTCCCTCTCAACTTGCAACTTTAGATATAAGATGCTTGATGTAACT